CACTCAGTGGGTCTTAGTCCCTGGACAGTGTTCTTCTGTTTACACTGGAAATCTGGGGATTCAATGGACCCAGCTCGGATCAGTGTACCCTTCAAGAAAATATGTTTTAAACCATAGCCATTATGGTGACATTAATACATTTCAGTTAAACTGGGTCATTAACACTTGATAAGGGAAAGAAAATACTATGTAAATTGAAGGAAGGCACTGGAGGACCTAATTAGGGTTTAATACAGAAGAATTGGGGGTGGGGCATAGGGAAGCATTGTGCATGGCAATGTCACTTTTGGCACTCTAGGAATTTCCTGGATCTCTGTGGTAAAGACCAGAGTTTGGGGAGAATTCCTAGAGCAGGAGTCTGCCACACAGTTTCCATAAGCCCCATGGCACCCACCAATACCTTTCCTGACCAAGTGTTTATAGAAAGTGGGTGGGACCATGTGCGCTTATTGTCTAGCAGGGCTTCTGATTGGCCACCGGATATTTGATTGGCTGTGCAGATTAAAATAATGTTTCGGTGATAGCTGTTACCACAGTGATGCTTTTAGTTTCTTTCCCAATGTATTTTAAGTTACTTGTCTTCTCCGTGTACTTGGTCTTCCTCTGTGTATACATGGCTCAGCCTCCTCCAGTGGCCATTTTGTGGTTGCACCCACCACTAGAGATGGGCACAAACCAGGAAAAAAGTGGTTTGTGTCAGTTCATGGCCGAGCCACAAACTGAACCAGGAAGTTTGTTTGCAAAATGATTTATGGTTTATGGCCCCGCAAACCCCATTGAAAGTGAGTGCAGCCTCCTTTTTAAAAATTATTTATAACTTTTAACTTTACAACATAAAAACAATACTACGCTTTATATTTTTGATACAAATATAATACATTTAAGAAACTCAACAATTGCTTCAGAATAGAATAACCATTCAAGTAACTAACTACAGAAATTACTGTCAATGATATATATATATTATTTTGTTTTTGTGCAGGTATTAGTATCCTATAAAATCTAGTCAAAAAGTTGTTATCTCTTTGTATCGCTGGGGTATTGAATGGGAAGTAGCTGTTGATTCAGAATTCAGTAGTTATTAAATTCAGAAAATTTAAGCGGGGTTTGCAGAAAGCCAAAAAAACAGCTGAGCGACAAGGAGCAGTCTGCTCCTCACCACTCAGTTGTTTCGGGCTGTCTTGTGCAGTCCCTTTAAACTTTAAAGAGACTGCACAAGATGACTAGAAAAATAGCTGAGCAGCAGGAGCTCATCCTGCTCTCACCACACAGCTATTTTTGAGGCTTTTGAGGGGACCAGAATGCAGGGGTTTAAAGGGAGTCCCTTAAACCCCTGCTTTCTGCTCTATCCATGAACCGCCATGAACTGCTTTAAAAGTTTGTGGAAGCTGATGATGGTAGACCCATCATGAACTTGGGTTCGCAAACCACGAACAGGGCAAAAATTGTGATGAATTTTGTTTTGAGGTTCGGTTCGTGCCCATCCCTACCCACCACCCTTTGTCAGAATTCCAAAGGTGACCGCAGACTCAAAAGGGTTGGGGACCCCCGTCTAACACTTTTCTCTCTGCCACTCCATTGAACAGGGGATGGGGAGCAGCAGTTGGGGGGGGGAGTTGCCCATACCAAACCTAGACCTGATTATAGTGAACCAAATAGTTGCTGCTTATGGTAGCAGCAAGCAAGCTATTAGCGTCTTGATGACCTGCAAAACGTTATATCCATACCCATAGTTTTTTGTTTGTTCAATCAGAAACATTCCAAACAATGTTACTGCTGCACCAGCTACAACAAAACCAACAACAAAATCAACCACAACAAAAGCTACAACAACAAAACCAACCACAACAAAAGCTACAACAACAAAACCAACAACAACAGAAGCTACGGCAACAAAACCAACAATAGAAAAACTGGAAGGTATGTACAATTTTCTGTCAAGGCATTTTCTTAGGATATTGAATCTGAACAGCTTTGAGGCTGTGGCCAGGAGGCTAAGGCAGAACAAGCTGAAGCTGAATCCGGGCAAGACAGAGGTAATGCTGGTCAGGAAGTGTGATATTCTAGAGGGTCTGAATCCACTTGTCCTAGATAGAGGAACTTTGGCTTTTTTAGAGCCAGTTAGGAGCTTGGGGGTGCTCAAGTTGGCATGGTGGCCAGGAGCACCTTCTGTCACCCAGTCTGCCCACACTGGTCTATGCTTCTGCAACCTCACGGATTACTGCAATACACTCTATATGGGGCTGCCCTTGAAGACAATCCGGAAACTACAAGTAGTCCAGTATGGGGCAGCCCAGCTATCATTAAGGGCTAGCTGCTGGGAACATGCATTGCCCACTTTGAAACGGTTACATTGGGCTGCCGGTCTGTCTCTTGAGTTCAATTCCGGGTGGCGGTTATGACCTTTAAAGCCTTTCATAACCTGATGCCTGCATATTTGAATGACTTGTCTCCTTCCATATGCCCCTATGTGCCAACTAAAGCGGTCCGGCTCCCATCTGTGTGCTATCCCACCACTTAGGGTGGCACGTCCAGCACTGACCAGAGCCTGGGCCTTTTCCGTCGTGGCTCCAGCTCTGTGGAATGGGTTTTCTGAAGAGCTGGGGGGCGCCTCCTTGGAGGTCTTCAGGAGGTACTGCAAGGCCTGCCTCTTTGCCAGGGCTTCTGAAGGGGTGTGGATAGCAGGCACCTTCTAAGGGGGCAAGGGGGGAGAGATTTGGGATTTGCTATTTTATTTTTGGTTTTACGTGAAAATGTGTGTAACTATTATCGTAAGCTGCTTTGAACCACTAGGGAAGGCGGGATATAAGTGTTTTAATGAACGAATAAATAAACCAGTGCCATTACATCTTGCCTTATTACACATAACTGTGTTCAAGCTAAGGAGAAGCTGCGCCTTACATGCAGGTGTATGTGACAAAGCCTCAATTTGTTTCTAATGAAAAGCAGCCTTTGGGTGCCTTGATCTTGATCAGAAGACCCTTGGAGGGGGGGTCCGCTGACCCCCAAAGCATTTTCTCTGATCAGAAAGCGAGTCCTGGCAAATCGACCACAGTCGTTTGATTCAGAGAGCCCACAGAGTATGCTCACTTCTATTTTTTGGTCTTTCTTACCCAAAATCTTTTTAAAAAACCCTCCTCCCACATGTACTCTCTTATCATCCCACGTTATTGCAGAGCTTTTTTTATTTGCAAGACTGTACATTATACCAGGGCTATTTTTGGGCAGGAACGCACAGGAACGGAGTTCCGGCTGGCTCCCAAGTTGGCCACGCCCAGCAGGAGCTCATTAGCATAATAGGCCACACCCAACAGCAGAAACTCATTAGGATTGGCTACATTAGGGGTGTGTGGCCTAACATGCAACGAGTTCCTGCTACAAAAAAAGCTCTGGGTTTTGACAACAAACAAGATAAACAGAATAACAAGAAAAAGGTGGGTGTGGCTGGATGACCACACTTCTGGTAACATGGGGGTGCGGCCTAATGTGCTAATGAGCTGTGCTGTCAGGGGTGTGGCCCAATATGCTAATGAGTTCCTGCTGTTGGGTGTGGCCTATTATGCTAATGAGTTCCTGCTGGGCTTTTTCTACAAAAAGAGCCCTGCGTTATACCTACAATGGTTTTGGCAAGGGAGATTTTTGAACAGGTCCTACACTGACACAATTTGCCCTCATGGCCTTAACAGGATTGATACATCCTTTCACGCTTTGCTGGAATGCAGATTTTTTTGAGATTACGAGCACATTGGCTCTGACAACAAGGTGCTTCACACCTAGACTTTTTGGACCAAAATTGGAAGGCACTCGGTAGCAGTATCTTTCAACTCGTGTGCGTCTTCATCTGACATAAGGGTAGATCCTACGAGGCCTCACATGAGATATTTTTCTTGTGTCTTTTGATTCCTTTTTTGAACACTCCTGTTTTGGTCATTTGTACCAAAGGAAGGTCCAATTGGGCTAAAAAAACACTAGGTCACAATTGTTTTCTAATCTGTGGAACATGGAGAACATATGTTGAATTATTGGGTGGGGGGGAGAAACTTGCCAAAGAACATGTGTTCATGAAAAACCTTTAATTTGAACAAGAACCTTGTTTTTCATTAGTGTTCGCAAGATAAATATCTTGTAAAATTATGACTGGTTTCAACAAAGTTCCCAGGAATATTAAGTTTGGGAAATGTTCTTTCATAGATCTGCTCCGAATTAAGTAGAAATAAAATAATTTGTTCTGCATATTCTATTTCACAGAATATGCAGAATAAATTATTTATTTAACTCATTTATCCTTTCTTTGAATTGTCTTTCTGTGGTGTGATGTACATGCGTTTTGAAACGATAATCCAATTTAATTCCCCATAAAATGTTGATAACTCAAGCTAAGTAATCTGGTCTAGATAATGGGTTGGATCCAGACTAAAATTTCCATTAGCAAAATGGAACTTTCCTGCCTCTCCCTTTCCACTGCAGCATATTGAGCGCCTTGAAATGCCACTCCTAGGGGGGCAGGGGACTTTGAGAAGGGATATCAGGGGGTCTGCAGTGGGAAGGGGGGGTCAGTGGAAATTGCCAGTTTCCCTGGATCCAAGCAATCGTCTTCATCCGGTATAATGGAGTCAATTGTTTTGCCAGTCAGCCGAGTCGGCCATTTTACTTGTTTTAACTCTTTAATTTTTACAAAGTCTTCTTTTCTATAAATTGTTCAGATCTTTGTTGAGTGCTGTTCTTCTGCATTAAATCTGACCGATCCCCCAGGTTACATGATGCATTAAATCAGGGGTTCCCAATGTGATCAGGCACCGTGATGCCTGCCAACAGCTTTCCTGGTACCACCAAGTGTCTTTAGAAAGTGGATGGGATCGAGTGGGGCTCCCGGCCAGCATGGTTTCTCATTGACCCTTAAGATTATTTCGTAGGGTAGTCATGTTAGTCTGCAGTAGAACAACTAGAATCGAGTCCAGTACTACCTTAGAGACCGACAAGATTCCCTGGGAATAAGTTTTTGAGATCAGGTGGTGCATTTGGGCTTCCTGTGTGCGTCTGTGGCTCTGCCTCCTGCAGCAGCCATTTTGTGACTGGCTCCACCTCCTATGGAGGCCATTTTGTTGTGCCCATTAAAGGTAAAGGTTTCCCTTGCTCGAAAGCCAGTCGAGTCCAACTCTAGGGGGTGACATTCATCTCTGTTTCCAAGCCGAAGGGCCAGCGCACTCCGAATTCCACAGATTCTCACAGGCTTACAAGGAAACTTACCTAGAAAAAAGATAATTTTAAAAATACAAGGAAATTAGTTGGATTTAAAAATACAAGGAAACTAGCGAGAAAAATGAAAGAGGAATAATTTTTAAACCGCCACAAGGGCACCTTTTCCCCCCCGGCAGGCCAGTTTTCTATGGGCAGGGAACTTTTTATGTGTATTCAGTAATCAACTGTAGGAGGTCTTGTGTGATGTAGAGCAGCCCAGCCACAGGCTTCCCTCCTCGTCTGTAAGAATTAGGCCTACGTGGGAGGAAAAGGTTGACATATGGCTGTTTGCACCATATACTTATTGAAGGAAGGAAGGAGCAGAAGTCGGTGAAACAAAAGGAGAAGCGCGATAACTAGCCAAGTTAAAAGCTGGCTCCCGCTTTATGTTTCACAGGTGGGACAATGAAATTACCGCTGTTTTGAAATGTTTAGTAATCTGTTAATGAATTTGGATTGCCTTAACTGCAGAGTGAGTAGACAAAACAGTGGTCCTGATGAAAACCAGTTTGGACAAGGATACGTATGTCTTACAGCTGATACAGCTCCATTTTTGTCCAATGCATATGTGCGTGTATGTTGGATTGGATTGGATTGGTTTGGATGGTGAATACTTCCAAAACTGAGATACACATACTGTAGAAAATTGCGACAGAGTGGGTTCAGCCAGGATGTGCTGAATTGCAACTCGGGTGTGTGTTGATTGACTTGCATGTTCCAGGGTGCAAAAATCCTCTGAAAGTCAACTCATGTTGACTTCAACAGATGAAAATGTTTGTGTTTAATCAGCGGTGCAAGTCCTAAGTGCACTCAGTCTGGATTTTATGTGTGGTTGTGGCTTATCTTCTTTTTTTTGCCAGAAACTATTGGCTTTCTTCTTCGAATCCTCCAGTAACTAGTCACTTCTTTTTCCTACAGTGGTGAAGCACGTGGGTGAAGTCCAGGTCACGGATATCACTGAAAACAGCGCTAAGCTGCGCTGGGTGGACCCCGAGCCTCAACACGCCGCTGTCTATGATATCACCATCACCTTGGCACATGATGACTCTTTAGTCCTGAAGCTCAACTTAACCGGCACTGAACGAGTCATTGGTGGCCTTGGGAGTGGACAGAAGTACCACGTCCTGGTCACGGGCTACCTCAATGCACAGGCCAGATCAACCTACAAAGGAACATTTAGCACAAGTGAGTGTGCTTTTGGTGTAAAGATTTGCAGCCACGTGAGCTGTGTGCAGGGACTGATGGGAATCGGCTCCCAGCTCAGCTGAAATGCCCGGAGATCAGCCTCTCCAAGCACTGTGTCCTTAGCAAAGGCCTGATTTGCGACCAGTTCAGGGGTTAATAAAGCCAAGCAGAAACCTCTTCCGTCTGTCTGCCTCCATGTTACCCTGATAAGGTCCTTTAGGAGGAGTCATGAGGGCCAAGCAGTTGAGGCTACAGTCCTCCAATATAGAAAAGTTCTATATCAGTCTTCCAACACAGATGGGACAGATCACACTACTATATATCTATACCAGCTAACTGTCATTGCTTCCCGCAAAGAATGCTAGAAACTGTAGTTTGGTGAGCGCCCTCAATAGGAAATAACCATTTTTTAAACCTGCAGTGTAGATTTCTCTTAGCTGACTTTCTGAAGCATGGAATTAGGGTTGCCAGCTCCCAGGTCCCGGCGGGGGTTCCCCTGCTTTGGGGGGCTCCAATCCACCAGCGGCCGGTGTGGGGGAGCCCCGCCCCCAAGAGCAGCCACCCCTCTCCCTCCCTCCTGAAAGATTTAAAGGGCCCTCCAGCTGATCGGCAGGCCATATGCTCCCCACTGATCAGCTGAAGCCCTTTAAATCTGGCAGGAGGGGGGGAGGGGTGGCCATTCTTGGGGGCAGGGCTTGGGGACATTCCCGCCCACCCCCAGAATGCCCCCCAAATCCCTCTGCCGGAGCGATGAGAAGGACCTGGCAACCCTACATAGAATTCAGCTGCAGAGAAACAGCTTCCAAGTAATTCTGGTAAACAGCAGTTCAGCCCTTACACCAGAGAAGCTCTAGGCAGTGGTGAATTTCTTATGAAATTGTGCTTCCTGAGAGCTTAGCTTTCCACAGGAGAATGAAGTGGCTCATGGATCCATGGAGCCAGTGTGATGGAGCGGTTCCAGTGTTAGTTCCAGTGGGGGGGAGGTGGGCCAGGTTTACATCCCCACTAAGCTATGAAGGTGTACTGGGTGAAACTGGGATAGCCATTTGTCTTTCATCCTAGCTTAACTTACAGGATAATATGGGAGGGACCCTGTGCAGTGCCCTGAGCTTATTGGAGGAAAGGACATGGAAAAAAAAATTGTAGATTGAAGTATTTGTAGCGTTTCTGACTAGGAACTGAAAAAAAAATACTCCATTGTATTTTGGCTGCCGTAGAATATAAGGTTCAACTGAATAGTTCATCAGACATCTGTTACTGATTTTCCCAGCTGCAAACCAAGACTCATTTGAAAATGTTGTGCCTTTATATAAGCAGAACCAGACCTGAGTGTTGCTGTGGGCTTTTTTCCCTTTTTTTTTTTTTTTGAGACTGCCCACATGAAAATGAAATCCCATTTGGCTATTGTTCTCCAGATTTTTATTCCATGTATATGAGGAAAAGGGCCTATTCCATCTCTTCTAAGAACAAGAGATCTTCTCGCACATTGCAGCTGTGGATTTCTAGTAGGGCATTTAAGTCTAAACGTACCTGTTTTAGGGCTTCGTTTCAGGCATTCCCCGTCTCCCTGAGTATTTTGCTCTTCCTTCCGCAGAGGCCATGCCCTTGCCCAAGTTGCCTTCACCCGCAGTAGCCCATCTGATGGTGAACACTGAGCCACTGGAAGAACCAATAACAGGTGAGCCCTCCGACGCCCAAGAGATGCCCTCCCCCAGTGTACGATAGTTAAGCTACTTCTGCCATGTTAAGCAGTGCTTCCAGATGTCTTAGTGCTCTTGCTTTTTTTAAAAAAGGTCAACACTTATTTTCTACGCATGAGTAAAATGTGTAAAAAAAAGTACTCTTTGCTCATGCATTGTTCCATTGCGCTATGACCCTGTGGAATAAGGGCAATTCCTTCAACTATGGGACTTCTGGCATTCAGAATTCTACAAGAGGGGGGACCTGCGAGGCTTCATGGGAGAGGGAAAATCTCATTCTTTCCTTCATTGGGTCTCCTCCTCTAGCTCCACCTCTTGTTGGCTTATCTTTCCTCCACCTAAACTCCACTTCTTCTCCTCCCACTGTCTTCCTTCCCATCAACCACCCTCCAAATCTCCCCCCCCCTTCTCACCCAAACGCCCAACTCTTTTTTCTTTCCCTGACCGACTGACCCACCCACAGTGTTTTCCTCAATGGCCAGCTCCCCCCACCCAACTCCATGGTTGTCATTTGGGGGTATTGCAGCTATCTCAGGGCATCTCTGCGTCTGCAGACATTTATTTCATATTTCCTCCTTATTTTAATTTGCAGAAATGTATACTTTAGCCTTATGTGTCCTCCCTTGAGGGTTTTTTGATCCACGTGAGGGGATCATACATATATAGCTATTGGATACATGTTGTTCAGCTTGATGAAACCAGTAGTGCCGCTGTAATTCTGAGCTATTCTCAGTTAAACAAGGTGGGGGGGTGTAAAATATATTGCTTTGGAGAAGAACACAGGAAGGATGTGGGGGCCACATTCTGACACTGGGAGGTTTCAGATATTCAAAGATAAGCTTGATGTCCCTGTGACTTGCACTTCCGCATTCAAAGGAAGTGGCCCGAGCTTCTCTTCCAGGGGGAGATGCATGCCTTCCAAATTCACATGGTGCCGCTGTTTTGCACATTGAATTGGGAGCATGCAAAAAATAAGCTCCCTTCCAGTTGTATTATGTTTTTTTTTTGAGACTGGTGGACCAGAAGTATGTACAGTACACCAAATGCACCCACACCATAGAGGGCTACTTGATGATCCTGGCCATTTTATTTCAATACCTTTCTTAGTCCTACCGTAGAATTTGCCTTTTTCACCACTTAGTTAGGTTCTTTTTGTCGAGTGTCCACCACAACCCAAAGATCGCTTTTCTCATCGGTCACTGCCAGTGAGGACTCATCAATGTAGATTTAAAGGGGGAAGGGGGGGTTGCCCCAGTATGTGTCACTTCTTACTTGCATGTGGAGATGTAAAATTTCTGGAAATTTTGAAGCCATGGGACAAAAAGTTTTCTTCTATTGGGGAGGGGAATGGAAATAGGGGGGGGACCGAAATATATGCAGTACTTACATTCCTGTCAAACCTAAACTTCCTTTACTGATTTAACAACGTAAAATGAATCATTTATGACTTCTGTCAGCAAATTAAATGGCACCATTTGGCATATTATGAAATGTTAAAGTATAACTATCTCCATTTCCAACAAAAAAAAAATTGCAGGGATGTCCAATGCTTGATGGAGAGTTGCAAACTACTGCACTCTGAGCTCCCATAGCTCATGTATCTTTAATTTTTGACATCTGAGAGATGGGGGGGGGCCAAAGTTGAAGGTAGAAAGTAAATTCCTCAGTAAACAAAAGAAACTGTATTCCTGAGACAGAAATTCCTTTTTTCTCCCCCCCCCCCCGGGCCCTCACATCCCTACTCAGACAGAGCCTCATTTGCCCTTGTTAGGAGTTCCTCACAATCAGCTTTGCTTCTCACCCTCATGATTAATTAGGAGTATTTGTCAACTTGGACACTTCACTTGCCTCCCACCCCAATTTTTAGATGTCTTCTGAACAAATTAAATAGCACTGGTTGCTATGCGTATCCCTGGGGGGACCCTCTTGCTTACTTCCCTCCATTTTGAGAACTGTCCGTTTTCTCCCACCCATTCCTTGATACAGTCTAGCCTATCGCTTGCTCATTCAAAAGAGGACATGTCTTTTTGTCCCATGATGACCACTAAATTCAGTTTGCAGGCCTCAGGACCAAACTAGACGTTTCAGCCTCCATGGATGCGGAAGCCATTTTAGAGCTGAACTTAGCCATTTAAAAATGCCACAAGGGCCCAGTCGCCCCTGGCACCTTTTCAAGTGCCAAAGCAGCCGTGAGAGGCCATAACACCGTAACATCTAGTGTGGCCCTGAGGCGACACAGAACTGTGTCTGAAAATTGTCGCTTCTGTAATCACTTTTGCACCTTCTGGGTGCCTCTTTCACAGTTCTAAGGATAAATTTACACAGGTCTTAAATATATTATATTATAGAATAGTTTCTATAATAAGCTAACATGTAACTAAGCCAAGCCTTAGGCTCTGAAGAAGACCCAAAAGACTGGCTGAGTCCTGTCAGTGGGGGGAAAAAAATCTGAAGAAAAACTGTCCGTTTTTGGGCTTTCAAATCAGATTCACGCACCTTCCTTCTTTAATGAGAGAAGGAGTGCCTTTCGCCTCTCCGGCCACTGCTTTGGAATTCAAAAGAAGGGAGGAGATCCCTCCTGGCCTGCCTTGATCCAGTCTCCCAGAATGGGGAGGAGAGCCCCAGGCCCCAGGCAGAAAGGCATCGCAGCTACAACCCCTGGCAACACTGGATTTTTATTCTGACAGCTGCCAAACCTCACATAACCCACTGGCTGGCATGGAGCTGACAATAAAATGTTTCCAGTGCCTATCGGCGGAATTGTCCTGCGGCTCACCAGGGCGTGAGGCGAAGTTTGTGTGTTAGTTCTTCATCCTGTTTCTGCTCTGTTGGCCTTGTGCTTAACCCAGGGGCATTAATGGTTTGTTCTGATGAACTGTTAATGTGGAATCACATGGGTTGACCTCAGTGATTAACACCACATGGATGATTAACACCTGTTATGAATGTGTGACAGTTGTGTTTATTAATGCCAATAGTCTCTTGTGATCCTTGTTTTAATAACCACAAAGGAGTGGAAGCTAAGGCCTGTAATTATAGAACTGTAACCTGCGGTGGCTCAAGTGGTTAAGACGCTGAACTGCAGACTGGAAGGTCGGTAGTTCAGCAGTTCGAGACCCGAGTGCTGCATGACGGGGTGAGCTCCCGTCTCTAGTTCCAGCTCCTGCCAACCTAGCAGTTCGAAAGCAAGAAATGGCAAGTAGATAAATAGGTACCACTTCGGTGGGAAGGTAACAGCGTTCCGTGCGCCTCGGTGTTTAGTCATGCCAGCCACATGGCCACGGAAACGTCTTTGGACAGCGCTGGCTCTTCGGCTTGGAAATGGAGATGAGCACCACATCCCTAGAGTCGGATTCGACTGACCTTCAGGCAAGGGAAACCTTTACCTAACGTTGCTTTTGATCTAGATGGCCCATGCTAGCCCAATCTCATCAGATCTTGGAAGCTAAGCAGGGTTAGCTTGTTGGTAATGGTTCCAGTTGTCATGTTGGCAGTACTGTTGTGTGGTCACCTTGATCGGCATCACACGGAACTCCTGTTTGTTTCAGATTTCAAAACCACAGATTGGCTTTTGGCTGTAAAGTTTTTATTCATTCCATTTCAGCACTTTTAGCCTTTAGCCAGTCAGCACAAGCTCCTTGTTCTCTTGGGTCTTGCAGGATTTCAGAAGTGTGTGCTGGCTTTCAGGTGATCCGTAAGCCCAGCTGGAATTTCAGACTTTCTCAAGGCCATAAATTGCTGGGAAGGAACATAACCTATGGGAACATTTGGAAGCTTTCCCTCCCACTACACTGACGTGCTGCTTTTAGTACACTCCATATACAGTTGACTTCAATGGACTCACCCAAGAGTAACACTGCATTGGATTGCACTGGTAGCTGTACAGAGCTGCTCAGCACCTTGGCTTTGAACACGATGTTCCTGGCTCAAGATAGTTCACTAACTCTTTTGTTGGGGGATGAAAGCTTGAAAATGTAAAGATGTTCCAGAGCTAAAAGACCAAAATGAAGCACCCCATTACATTCACTTTGGCAAAGATGTTTTTCCTCAGAACCTGGCAGACTTTACATGTAACTTCACATACAACAGGCACATAATTGAAGCTGGTTTCTTGGTGGTTTTGTGATGGGGGTTGTATGTTTGTTGGGCCTGTCGCTTCTGTTTTATGTTTTGTTTTTCCAGTGTGCCATTCCTGGGTGCGATCAGAGTCTCTTTTGTGTTTGCCTTGTTCCGTGTGGGCACCATTGTCCACGATCCTTTTCTCATCTTTCTCGATGTAGCTAACAAACTACTGAGCCCGGTCTGTAAAAGTTCCATCTTGTCTTAATGTATAACTCCTTGTTTGCTGTTCAGTTGTGTTTCACAAGGCATGTAAGAACATATATATCAGTGTAACTTATAGTAGGTCCTCACAGGACAACGCAGATAATACTGGAAACAGAAACTGGCTCCTCTTGTAGAATAGCCTGAATTATTCAGTTTCTCTTCAGTTTCTCTTCTCTTATGCTCTGAGAAGAAAGGAGGGGGGAAACTTAACCCCAAAGAACTTAATCAAGAACCAAAAGGGTTAGTTGCGCACCAATATAGGGCCAGATACAGAGAGGGGAAGGGAAAGGAGATCGTAAGCTGCTCTGAGACTCCTTCGGGTAGTGAAGGGCAGGGTATAAATCCAATATCTTCTTCAAATACTAAAAACTATGTGTGTAACCTAAATATTATCAAAAATATATGCATTTATTATCAAAAACATTTATGGCCCCAACTGTAGCCTCATTACAGCATAAAAATGCAATGTATACAAAAGGGAGCGAATGTGACACGATGCCTTTGTGCCCAAATTGGCCTTCTTCAGTGGTCAAACAGTTTCTATACATAAAGACTCATGATACAATGGTAAAACAATATACAAGTTGATATAGGGCCAAGAAAGGAGATTGACAATCAAGAATAGATTACACAAGGCAAAAGAATGTTTGTG